GGGGGGGGGGGAGGGGGGGGGGGGGGGGGGGGGGGGAAGCACCACCCCCAGCCTGGGGCCCATCGCCATGGTCTTGTATTGCCCACAGCAGGGTGCTGTCACCTGTGGTTTAAAATCTCCACCATCCCATACTGCTCTATCCACAGCTTCCCAATGATGACGTTGTGCACACAGCAGGTGGGGTTGGTCCAGGTGTAGGCTTCATTATGTCTGTGAAAACGCCAGAGAGCAAACAAGTCAGAGGCCAGCTAAGCAAAGACACCGTGTGACCCAAGATGCAGACACCGGGCAGCAAGGCCCACGTTGCCCGGAAACCAGCAAGGAGCAGAATATTGCTTTGAAGTGCCTCCAATGGTGGCTATTTATTTAGAATTTGTTTGAAATTTATTTCTTCTTTCCTTTGTAGCACCAACAAAGCTTTCTACTTAAATGTCAGGACACATTAATAAGCAGCAAAAGAAGACTGAGACAAAGAGAAATGGCTTTCCTGTGAAGTCATCAAAAGGAAAACCATGTCCCCAAACACGTCTTGTAGCAAAGCACAACCCTGCACCCCGTCTCTGGCTGTCTGGGAGCCAGCATGTGGCAGGAAAGGATGCTGGGGAGTGTGCTGCAGTCCCAGCTCCACTGCACTCACTCCTTGGCCTCCCAAATGGCCCTGGCCTAGAGGAAAACCCCACAAATGTGCGACACAGCATATCACCAGACCTGCGTCTAGACGAAGGCAGGCAAAGAGCTGTGATGGAGGTGAAAGCCAGCTCAGAGAAGGAGGGCTTCATAGCATAGTCTGAACTTCTTGAATTTCCCAAGAGGAACACTGGGAGCACTGGAGTCAGTATGGTTAGCACCTTCTCAGTTCCACACGCCTCACCCCAAGAAAGCAAAGACCCTGTAATATGGGCTCAGTGGCCGGGCATTACCAGGAGGGGTGCCTTCGCAGCTGCACTGGGGAGACCATGCTCCTCCAGGTCCTTGTGGTACTTTCTGGCAACCAACCAGCCTGGGCCAACATGAAGCAAAGAGTACATGAGCTGCTTCCCAATGGCAGACTCACGTCTCAGAGAACTGGCTGCCAGGGAGGGTGCTGTGCATGCCCGCCTGGACCGCGTGTGTACCGTGGGTTTTCATGTCCAGGGGCTGGCTGGAGACTCAGTGTTTGCTTTGAGGTATCTCTGGTCAACCCTGGACTGGACAGCACTGACTGAGACTGAGCAGCTGTGGTGGGCAGCCTCGGAGGCGGCCCCCCACAGATCCACACCTCCTTGAATTCACGCCCCATGGTACCTGCCCCCATGCTGCCAGGTCTGTGTGGCCAATGGCACAGGGAGTGGGGCATGGGGGGTAGGGAGGGTGACTTCCAGGGCTTCTGTCTTGTCTCAGTGGCTCTCCCCACTTGTAGGGCTGCCAGCTGCCATGTTGTGAGCAGCCTGGGGGGTGCCGCACAGCTGGGAAACAAGGCCTCCACCAACAGGCTGGCAGCACATAGGGAAGCAAACAGTCACGACTTTGGTGCGTCTCACGCCAGTCCCAGCCCTCAGAGACCACAGGAGACAATAAATACGTTTTCAGCTGCTGAGTTTGGGGTGGTTACATAGCAAAGGATGTCGAGTATGGTAAGTGGATAGAAGGATGCGAAATTCCAGCAGCGATCAGAGGTGAGGAGAATTTCCCCAGCAACATCCAGTGCTGACCAGCAATCTTGGTTGAGAAGTTTCTGCTGCTGGAAAGGCTCACCACCTCAGCAGAAAAAGGACACGATTTCCGACCAGAAGGGAAAGTCTCCATGCTCAGGAGAGATGGACTCCCTTCCAATGCAATGGCATGCTCCCCAGTTCGCATGCAGCAGCACTCACTCGAGAAGCTCCAGTGTGATGGTCCCGCGCGGCTCCGCCTCCACGCTCTTCCCCCAGAACTTGAGCTTCGGGTAGATGGAGCCATGAAACACAAAGTCTTGGTTGAGACCTTCGGAATAAAATGCGCTGATGGGGGGGTGGTGACTGACCTGTTCAGATATAAATCTGAATCCTAAATCTTCCCTAGGTCCAAAAACAAGAGAAAGACAGAAAGGGGAGGAAAAGGGAAAAGAAAGGCCACATTAATGAAAGCAAAGTTGAAGGAAGGTCCTGTCAGAGCTCCATCACTCAGTGTAGAGCCTTCGGCTGGTGGCTGACAGGCTCGACCAGCCGTCTGTTCTCATGGGGGCCTTGTGAAACAGAAGCCCCCCTGCCGCATCATGTGGCAGGAACAGCCAGCCCGTGCCTCTCTCATGTCACCTAGGTCTAATGCTGACAACACACGCACACACACATGCACACACAGAGTGACCTCCAGAGCACACATGACTACTGCACAGAACAGGCAACAGTACAGGAAAGGCCTTCCTCCCTGTCCTCTGCTCACTCTCCACGGGAACACCAGGGCCATGTGGGGTCGGGCCAGAGGGGCCCACGATGCAGGTCAAGAAGCATCTCATACAGACCCCTGATCCCAAACTCACATTTTAATCTGTAAGGGACTCCCACTGCCTCAAAAACCCAAACAGTTATGACTCTAGCTTTTCTGAAGGGGCTGTTCCTTTCCAGCCTTTCTATAAGGCTCCTGAAATTTCTGTGATGGACTGTCTTATACCCCAAAATACTCCTGGCCAGGAAATAGGATTTTTAGTACACTCTCTTTTTCAATAAAAATGTCAGTTTTTAATTTTTCCGGAACTGTGAATACACCTACAGTTGTAGTCATTAAAAATTATAAAAGCTAAACCACATAATTACTAACTTAACTGAAATCAGAATTTCCAATCATTACAGAGGAAGGAAAGTTGAAAAATTAGATTTTAAAAGGTTGCCTACCAAGGTATGTAATTTACAAAATGAATACCTGTCTAAGAAAAGAAAGGATATTTTTAGTCATACAAGAGGAGTCTGCAGGATAAAAGATACTGGTTCATGTATGTTCCTCCTAAGCTGGAAGGATGGCTCAGGGTCTCGCAGGTGGGTACAGGAGGCAGAGGTGACAAGTGTGGTCTGGAAATGACAGTGTGACAAGAGGGTGCACTGGGGTCTAGACAGAGTCGCAGTCTCATCTCCAGTCCCTGGAGCCTGAGCTGCACCCAGAATTAAGCTCCTGAGGAGGGCTGACAACTTGGTGTCCCACATTCATTTCATCCATGTTGCTTCCTTTTGATCATCTAGAACTTTGTCTTCTGTTCTGATTTATCTTTTTCAAGATATATTAGAAACTTTCTAACAGCCAGATAAGGTCTGTGCCTCAACCACGGGCACCCTCAGCACGTTGACGGCAGGGAGGGAGGTCACAGGCAAACGGCCAGCAACAGCGACCTGCTGCTCAAGAGAAATATCCAGAAAAGGAAGAATACCCTCCATGAATTCAGAACAGAACCCCATAAGAGTGACTCTCCAGGCAAGGCTTTCCCTCATCTGGGCCTCAGCTTCACCATTTCTGAACTGCGGGAGCAGGACTATTCCCTACAGTCCCTCCTGCCGGGACGTGCCATAAGCCCAGGTCGCCTGCGGAACACGCCTGGGTTCATGCACTCTCCTAAGCAGCTCAGCTTTCTCACAGGTGACAAGGTTGTGAGAATAAGTACTCAAACGCTCAGTGACGTCCCCCATTTGAATCAAACTCAACGTTCAGGATGGCATCCGAGGCCTGCGGGAGGCAGAGACAGGTGCCGCCGAGCCACCTGCGGTAAGCCAGCAGTAGGGGACAGCATGAAGCTGCGACACTGTTGCCATCTTCCGGGACAGCGCTAAGGACTCATGCAGGGTGCTGGGGAGCCGCGGGACAGAAGGTCCCGATTCTTCCCCAAATGGCCTGAAAACCACTGATGACACACAAGCCAACCAGGAAAAAAACCCTACACACATGTGTGAAGAGAATGGATTCAGACTGGTCAGGTTCCCTCACCTCATATCCGGCCAAGCACGACTTGGCCTGCCTGATGTACATATGTTAACTGTGCAGTGCGCCCAGGTGTTCCTTGGCTATCTGACTCACCCCCAGGTGTTCTTTGACCATCTGACTTGTGCCCATGTGTTTCCTGGTTATCCGACTCTAGTATAAAAGACAACGGCTGTGACCCGCTGGGGACTGAGCTTGCATGCAAATAAAGCATGTCTATCTTATCTATAGCTCCTAGGATCTTTTTCCAGCTACCTAGCTCGTGACCTGCATATGAGGGGTCTGTGAAGCAGTTTGCACAGAATGGGTTTGAAGGGTTTGTGACCCAGCCTGACACACTGAAACTCCTCACACACTGGGTGAGAGCCTGTTTGAAGGAGTTCAACATCCTCAAATCCCACAGTCACTTCCCACTGAAACGAAATCTTGAGTATTAGTATCACACAGGCAGCAAGCGGCCAGAGAATGGTGACCCGGACTTTCACAGCTGCGTGCTTCTTTGCATCCCAGATGCCATCGACTGTGTGGTGCACCATTATCTTTATGAGGAAAGAAAAAGCATGACATGTAGAAATGCTGCAACATGGAAAGTTGTCTCTGAATCAATGAAACACCGTGATTCAGTAGAAGTCTGTGATATCACGGGAAATGATTATGGCGTAATGTTAAATGAAAAAAGGTACAAATTTACATCATCACATTATGTAAAAACACACACACAAAAGGAGAGCTACCAAAATGTTGACAGAGATTGTCTTTTATGGGACTTTGTGATTTGTCTTTTCTTCTTTTCTCAAGGCTACACGTTTTCTATAAAGAACATGCTTTTGTAATTAAAAAAAACAGTTGTTTTTTGGTTTTAAAGATGACCGATAAGGGGATCTTAGAGGTGCTAAAGAGTATAAATCCCATTCAGATTGTATGCTATGTAAACTCCTAGGGGAGGGTCTGATATTGTCAGGTCAATATAGCTAGAAACTAAGTGGCACATAGGACCCAGTAAAGGAGGATTAGCTTCTAAATACTATTTAAATGCTGGGTAGGCTTACCCAATAAATTTAAAGAAACACTACACCAGAAAAGTTTAAGAAACAGAATTAATCTATTTCAAATACTTTATGTGAGTTTAGGCAGATGACTTGACCAATAACCTAATATATTTCACCCAGTATTTTTGAATCATACGCTTCTTTTTTTTTTTTTTAAAAGATGATCGGTAAGGGGATCTTAACCCTTGACTTGGTGTTGTCAGCACCATGCTCACCCAGTGAGCAAACCGGCCATCCCTATATGGGATCCGAACCCGTGGCCTTGGTGTTATCAGCACCGCACTCTCCCGAGTGAGCCACGGGCCGGCCCCAGGGGATCTTAACTCTTGACTTAGTGTTGTCAGCACCACAATCTCCCAAGTGAGCCACAGGCCAGCCCTAAAAAAACAGATTTTATTTTAATAAAATTTTCCAACAGAATCTCAAGTAACCCAGAATCCAAATAAGAGGCTAATTGTTTTAGCTAAACTTCCTTTCTATAGAAAAAAAGAAACAGAACAAGAGGATAAGGGAGTCCTCCTCCGTCCCTCCGTCTGCGCTCTGGTTCCTAGGCAGAGAACCTGTGACGTGCCCTGTGGCGAACAGCACACAGTCCAGCGCCACCCCGCGGCCTTCTGATAACTTCCTACCCCGAGGCTTCCACTTAGGTTATGCTTAGGTTGGAAAGAGTAGAGGACCATGCAGCTCAGGACACACTTCTCCCCTTTCAGAACGGTGACTCAAACTCCCTGCTGGTGGACTCTGGTTGCGTGAACCGTGCCATGCTGACTCTCCTCCCCCATCCAACTGCAGACACACACTCAACATCCACGTCAGCTACATGGCCAGCAGAGAGCGACAGGATCCAAGGGCAGGCAGAATGGAAATTACCCGAGACGTCGCCAACCACCCATAGAGGCACTGCCCACAGTCACCCTCTGTCAGCCTCCCCGGAGCCTCAGCCAGAACTGAGAAACCGCAACACTGTTGCGTAAGCACCTGCATCTGCTGGTGGGGGGCACTCCCACCAAGGCGCTATTCTCCAGGACATTCTCTGGATAACTGCAGCAGTCCCTGAGGCAACCAAGAGGATAGAGAACCCCAACACAGCACAGTCCTCGTGGGGGCCCAGCCAGGAACTACATGACATGGGCTCCAATCAGCACGTGTGTGCTGGGCACAAGGACAGGACAGAAGTTGGGGGGCTCCAGGGGGGCGGTGATGCTTCTAGAAGAAACCTGTGGAACAGCGTTTCAATAGACATCTAAGGAGGAGGTGTGGTCTGGTCCACTCTCACCTGGCCAGTACCAGCCAATCACTCCTGGACCCCTGAGAGGCTGTGCAGCAGCAAACGGGGACTGAAATGAAAACCTCTCTCTGCAATTACTCTTCTCTGTAGATTTATCCACTCCTTCAATAACATTCACTAAAATGCTTTGGTAAAATGGCCTCATTTGGGCCGGCCTGGTGGCGCACTGCTACAGTGCGCCGCTTGGGAAGTGCGGCGGCGCTCCCGCTGAGGGTTCGGATCCCACATACAGACCGGTTCCCGCTCACTGGCTGAGCGAGGTGCGGGTGCAGCGCCGAGTGTTGCGATCCCGTTGCCAGTCCCGGTCCGGTACGGGGGCAACACTGAGGGTTGCGATCCGTTGCCGGACACGAAAAAAGACAAAAAAAAAAAAAAAATGGCCTCATTGTGTTTATTTCCATTTTAGTTGAAAGCTAACAATCCTATACATTTCACGTACTTCATACGCTATACAAAAGTGTCTATGCATACACACTTTATCTCCAGTCTTGAATCTAACACACTGAAACTGTCTTACCTCACTAGGGTTTTGCTACATTATCAACACAACATTCCATGTACATGATACATCTTCTTCCTATAATATTCCAAACATTTTAGTAAGCTCCTTAATTCAAGGAGTTTATTCTCAGAGCAGAGGAATCAATGCTGGTGAAAGAATCAAACTCATTTGTCATCCAAAGACTTCCATTTACAACACAGTTACGAAGGGGCCTTTCCTCCCTTACCTGATTAATTCATATGTTTCTCCCAAGAGTGGATTGAACGGTTTGCCAGTCCTCTCCCACTGGGAAGCCACGGCGGAAACCGCAAAGGCAGCTACAGACTGTGAATAATCCATAGGACAGGGTAAGAACAATATCAATTAGGAAAAGCACTGACTGAGAAGGCCATCCTACAGACGGCATCTGAACCACCTAATTTCTTCATGTCTTATTTACTCTTTGGTGACTCTCAGTTCTGCACTAGTAACATGTTTTGAGATTACAGAGCTTCTAGGGACATGTCCTTCCTTACCCGCCACTTCCTCAAAGCCACCAGAAGAAGAAGCGCTGTGTCATTTCCACCCTGTGGCCCGGCCCTGCCTTGCACATGCTGTGGCAATGGCAGGCTGTCTCGCACATGCACACACTCCTGCACATGCACACGTACACACAGGCAAAGACATACACACAAGCACCCCTGTGGAGTGGTGGTGCCAAAGAACCCACAAGGAGCCCGAGGACAGAGCCTGCCACCTATACAGCTCCCCGAGGCTGGAGCTCCTGGCAGGAGGTGGAGCAGGTTGCTCTTAGGGCTGGTCCCACACCTGTGGAGACACACTACAGGACAGATGCCGCAGCCGCAGTCTGAGGCCCCCTGGTGAGATGCCTGGTCCTACTACTACGTGGTTAGGTAGTCACATGACATCATTTTCATCAAAACTCCCCTGGTCTGCCCTAGCTACACGCAGTGCTCACCTGCATCCTTTCCAGGGGCTGGGACTGGTGGGAGGCTTTGTGGATGAGGTACACATGCTCCATGTACTCTGTGATCCGCTGGAGGAAACTCAGAGGCTCGTTGAAAGCTATCGGCATCGTGATCTTGGACAGCTCCTGGAAGAACCCAGTCAGGACCTGCTAGCACCCTGCTGACATGGCTGGGCTTCCCCAAGAGAAGGAAGACACAAGACCTGTGCACCACCCCTGCCTGAGCATCACCTCAAGGAGCTGCACACTCCTGTACTGGACAAGGTCCCAAAACCCTCTGTGATGAGCTGCCACCCACCCTTCCTGCTCCCACTCGGTGAGCCTTGGCTTCCATCAACCCTCATGTGGAATCTGCCACCGAGCCAGGAGAGGTCCTCCCACACAATGCTCCTGAATCCTTCCCCAGCCAAGTGCCCCATCCCGGACCCACAGTGCACATAGAGACTGCAACGGGAGGCTGCCTCTGCCCGTCCCTCCCCCACCCTCAAGTTCACTCCACTTCCACTTCAGTGGTCCCAAAGCACAGCTTCCCTACACCAGGGAACAAAGCCCAGCATCCCTTCTCCTTAGTCTGGCAGGTGAGAGCTTCCATGGTGTGGCCCTAGGCAGCTTTGCCAAAAAGCCTTTCAAAGCCCACAAAGGTATCTCAGGAATCTGCTCCCAGGCTTCGTGCAGGCTCGGAGCGAGGTATGTGCCTTCTGCTTCCATGGAGTTCCCAGTTCAGTGGGGAGATGCCAGCAATATGCTACAGGACAGTGCCCACAGGAACCGCTCTCTGAACTGGGTGTCTAGGAGGGAGATTTCGATAGATAGCAGAAGGGCCTTCCAGGGGAAGCACGGTTGTGCACAGCAAGACAGCCTCCTCGAGGAAGGACCAGGATCTGAGGCAGCTAAAGCAGAGGCAAAGGAGGCAGAAGAGGAGGAGGAGGAGGGGGAAGAGGAGGAGGAGGGAGAAGAGGAGGGAGAGGAAGAGGAGGAAGAGGAAGAGGGAGAGGAGGAGGAGGAAGAGGGAGAGGAGGAGGAGGAGGAGGGAGACAAGGAGGAGGAGGGAGACGAGGAGGAGGAAGGAGACGAAGAGGAGGAGGAGGGAGAAGAGAAGGAGGAGGAGGGAGAGGAGGGAGACGAGGAGGAGGAGGAGGGAGACGAGGAGGAGGAGGGAGAAGAGAAGGAGGAGGAGGGAGAGGAGGGAGACGAGGAGGAGGAGGAGGGAGACGAGGAGGAGGAGGGAGAAGAGAAGGAGGAGGAGGGAGAGGAGGGAGACGAGGAGGAGGAGGAGGGAGACGAGGAGGAGGAGGGAGAAGAGAAGGAGGAGGAGGGAGAGGAGGGAGACGAGGAGGAGGAGGAGGGAGACGAGGAGGAGGAGGGAGAAGAGAAGGAGGAGGAGGGAGAGGAGGGAGACGAGGAGGAGGAGGAGGGAGACGAGGAGGAGGAGGGAGAAGAGAAGGAGGAGGAGGGAGAGGAGGGAGACGAGGAGGAGGAGGAGGGAGACGAGGAGGAGGAGGGAGAAGAGAAGGAGGAGGAGGGAGAGGAGGGAGACGAGGAGGAGGAGGAGGGAGACGAGGAGGAGGAGGGAGAAGAGAAGGAGGAGGAGGGAGAGGAGGGAGACGAGGAGGAGGAGGAGGGAGACGAGGAGGAGGAGGGAGAAGAGAAGGAGGAGGAGGGAGAGGAGGGAGACGAGGAGGAGGAGGAGGGAGACGAGGAGGAGGAGGGAGAAGAGAAGGAGGAGGAGGGAGAGGAGGGAGACGAGGAGGAGGAGGAGGGAGACGAGGAGGAGGAGGGAGAAGAGAAGGAGGAGGAGGGAGAGGAGGGAGACGAGGAGGAGGAGGAGGGAGACGAGGAGGAGGAGGGAGAAGAGAAGGAGGAGGAGGGAGAGGAGGGAGACGAGGAGGAGGAGGAGGGAGACGAGGAGGAGGAGGGAGAAGAGAAGGAGGAGGAGGGAGAGGAGGGAGACGAGGAGGAGGAGGAGGGAGACGAGGAGGAGGAGGGAGAAGAGAAGGAGGAGGAGGGAGAAAAGGAGGAGGAGGGAGAAGAGAAGGAGGAGGAGGGAGACGAGGAGGAGGAGGAGGGAGACGAGGAGGAAGAGGGGGAAGGAGGGGGAAGAGGAGAGGGAAGAGGAGGGAGAGGAGGAGGGAGAGGGAGGAGGAGGGAGAGGGAGAAGAGGAGGAGGGAGAGGAAGGAGGGACAAGAACCTGGTGACTCTGAGCTCACCAATAAGAACACATGGAAGAGAAAGAGATATGAAAGAAAGCAGAAAAGTGAAAAGATAAACTGGGGAGAACATTTGCAATTTGTATCTCAGAAAAGGATTAGAATTCTTTCCATGCGCACAATGCCTGAAAATCTGGAGGAGAGGAAGCCACAGCTGCAGCCTTGGCCACAGCAGACAGGGCAGAATGCAGACAGCCCCGCGTGGGAGAAACGTGGCCTTGCTCAGGTCAGGAGGAATGGAACCACAGCTGCCTGGAGATCCCATTGCTCACCCACTCAACTGACAAAACTGTAAACATTGACATCCCACTCTGTCAGTGAGGCTGTGGGGTGAAAGCCCCCACACCTGCTGGAGGTATGCAGGAGGATGCAGCCTCTGGAGGGGACTGAGCTGCATCTGGCAAAATTCCACATGCATTTATCCTTTGATGCAGCAATCCCATTTCTAGGAACCCACCCCACAGAGTCAGCTAGGCATGTGTGCAGGGCTGCTCACTGCAGCACTGTGTGAACCACCGAAGGACCAGAAACAACCTAAGTGTCCAACAACAGGGCACGGGTCCAATCAACGACAGGGCAGCCGTGTGAGGGATGCAGGCAGCTAAAAGAGATTAGGAGGTGGCGTGTGTTGCTGTGGAGATGCTGGTGGATGAAAACGAAAGGTAGAGAAAACCTGTCCTTCCTCTAAAGAAATGGGAGAAGACACACACACAATGAGCCGCACAGCACACAGAAAGGCACACAGGCAGAGCACCCCTTATCTGAAAGGCCTGGGACCAGAAGTGTTTCAGATTTTGGATTTTTTCATATTTTGGAAAATTTGCAGAATCCATACCTGTTCAGCATCCCTAATCTGAAAACCCCAGATACAAAATGCTCCAGCAAGCATTTCTTTTGAACATCATGTCAGTGCTCGAAAAGTTTTGGATTTTGGAGTATTTTGGATTAGGAATGCTCGACCTGCACCATAAAAACGTTTGATGGGACCTGTAGGAGAAGGGAGAGAGAGGGCAGAGGAGACAGGGACAGGAGGCTAAACTTTTTGAACATACATTGTTTAATAAATTTGACTTTGGACCCATAATTTTAAAACAAAATTAAATTTTAAAAAGCAATCTATAGGGCCGGCCCGGTGGTGCACTGCTATAGTGCGCCGCTTGGGAAGCGCGGAGGCGCTCCCGCTGAGGGTTCGGATCCCACATACAGACCGGCCGCTCACTGGCTGAGCGAGGTGCGGGAGCAACGCCGAGGGTTGCGATCCCGTAGCCGGTCCCAGTCCGGTGCGGGCGTGACACTGAGGGTTGCGATCTGTTGCCGGTCAAGAAAAAAGACAAAAAGGGAAAAAAAAAAAAAAAGCAATCTATAAATATCAAAAATGAAACAAATAAACCTATATGGCTCCCTCGGTGGCATAATCACCCAGAGAAGAACTATCCCAGATGACATTAAAACACAGTAATTTGAGATACACCGTAAGGACAGAAAGAACCACAAAAGCCAATAATCCTGCACGGTTTCAGTGAGCACACTGTTGGCGGCGGAATTGGTGAAATAAAGCCGATGAGTCACCAACTGTACTAGTGCAAATCTATATGCCCCAGTGCTGTTGAAAACTGGGGCTGTCAGAGAGGGAGAAAAGAGAGACAGACATGAGATGAAAGAGGTCAGGAAGAACCTGCTGCTCTGAGCTTGGAGCATCACTGAAACGAGTGCACAGCTCCTACTCTGTCCCCAAGAAGACCTGGAAATAAGACCACTCTGGCGGTCTCCCCAGAGCTCAGCTGTCATCCTCAACTCTCTCTCTCCCTAGAAAAGGGGCTGATTCCAGGACAATAAATGCACAGGATGAGCTTGAAGCATCTTCTGTAAAGGATTAAGGGCTTCAAGAGGCTTTCACCAGCCAGAGATGGAACAATCTGTAGACTGGAAGATGTCACATAGGTCTAACTCCATGAGTTAAAACAAAAACACACACTGGGTGGTTACACCAGTCATACTAGATGATACTAGTGAACCAGCACCATTTGAAAATTGAGACCAGGAGGAAGACCCTTCACTAAAGCCAATTTTCCTACACAAACTGAATTCACAGCAATGGAGAGAGGTTTCTCATTACAGAATATTCCAGATAATGAGTGAAGAGACTGTGTCAGCATGTTCCACTCTGTACTCCTAGTGAACTAACGGATCTCGGAGTTGAGCAGGAACAGCGTCTAAATTCAGAAAAAGAACAAAAGGTTTCCTGATGGAAGGATCCAAACAAGGTCCACACACACAAACTGCAAAAACACACACAAAGTGACAATTGAGACACTTGGAAATTTGAACACAGCATGGGTATTTGATGATGTTAAAAAACTATGTTATGGGCCAGCCTGTGGCTCACTCGGGAGAGTGCGGTGCTGATAACACCACGGCCACGGGTTCGGATCCCATATACGGATGGCCGGTTTGCTCACTGGGTGGGCGTGGTGCTGACAACACCAAGTCAAGGGTTAAGATCCCCTTACCGGTCATCTTTAAAAAAAAAAAAAAAACTATGTTATTTTTAAAAGTAGAATAACAGTATTGCGGTTTTGTTAAAACAGCATTCTTATCCCTTAGAGATTCATAAGAAATATTTACAAATGTAAAGATATCTGGTATTTGCTTCAAAATACCAGGGGAGGGGTGCAGGTGGAGGTGGATGAAATGGAGTCAGCACGGCGGGCCACTGGGCGGGGGAAAGGCACGGGGCTCTCTGCACTCTTCTGCTCACTTCTGCGTGATGGCCGGTTTGCTCACTGGGTGAGCGTGGTGCTGACAACACCAAGTCAAGGGTTAAGATCCCCTTACCGGTCATCTTTAAAAAAAAAAAAAAAACTATGTTATTTTTAAAAGTAGAATAACAGTATTGCGGTTTTGTTAAAACAGCATTCTTATCCCTTAGAGATTCATAAGAAATATTTACAAATGTAAAGATATCTGGTATTTGCTTCAAAATACCAGGGGAGGGGTGCAGGTGGAGGTGGATGAAATGGAGTCAGCACGGCGGGCCACTGGGCGGGGGAAAGGCACGGGGCTCTCTGCACTCTTCTGCTCACTTCTGCGTGTGTCTGAGATTGTACATGTTAACAAATGCGCCTATTCTGGTTTTGTTTTTGTTTTTGATATGAGCTGAGAAGCAGTAAAAGGAGAGGTGTATCACAAAACTGTAAAGAACAAGCACCTCAGGGGTCCCAAATGATTAACGCTGTGAAGTGGTACCAGGTGGCCCAGCACAATGGCCTCCTTCCCAGGGGCTTTGAAAACATGCCAGTCCTACGTGCTCACATTTCACTTTAATCTGCATCCATTCTATGATCACTTAGGAAATGCAATTTAAATCATTTCACATTGCTGAAAAGATGCTTCTGATAGCAGAATTGGAAGAGTCAAGATCAAGTAGTTTGTCACGTTCACAGACATCCCCGGACACTGTCAAGACCCTAACTGTCCACATCGTTGAGAATGCAGGAGAAAAACATAGTCAGCCCTCCACATTCACAAATTTAACCAACTGCAGATTGAAAATATTCGAAAAAATAATAATACAACAAAAAACAATACATAAAAAACAATGCCACATAACAACTACTTACATGGCATTCACATTGTATTAGGTATTGTCAAGTAATCTAGAGATGATTCTAAAGTACACAGGAGGATGTGCATCGGTTATTGCAAATACTAGGCCATCTGATATATGGGACTTGAGCAGCCACAGACTGGTGTCTGTGGGGATCCAGGAACCTCCTGCAAATACCAAGGGGCAACAATACTGTGTATTCCTGCCAAAAATGCAGAATCTCAATCTAATTGTGAGGAAACAACAGACAAACCTAGATTAAGGGACATTCTACCAAATAATAGACAAGGACTCTTCAAATGTCAAGGTCACGCAAGACAAGGAAAGCCTGAGGAAGGGGATCCTACGGAGCGGAGGGGACCAGGAAGACAGGATGGCCAAGGGCCCTGCGGCAACCTGACAGGGTCCTGGCACAGGACGAGGACATCAGAGGAGGACAGGGGAGACCCGAGCACAGCATGGCCTTTAGCTCACAGCTCTGTCCCGAGTGGGTCCTTCACTTTGATCCCTGTACTATGGTGACTTCAGGAAGTGCTGACACCCGGGGAGGCTGGGTGGAGGGTACATGGGACATTCTGCACTATTCTGCAACTTTCTCTAAGTCTACAATAAAAAGTTGGCGGGGGGGGGGGGGGGCGGGAATGAAGTTTCCTCTGGGGAAAAAAGGACTGAACTAGATAAGAGCAAAAACTAACTGGCATTAGAAGAACACGGGAGAAAAGCGTCTGAGAAACCGTGTGTTTTGTAGCCCCGTCCACCTGAGCTGTCGGTCACCAGGTGCTGGCCCGCGAACGCACGTGCTCAAGCCTGCACAGGAATACTTTGCTCTCTTGATAAGGCACAGCTTGGATTCTAATTGATGATCAAGAAAGATCATGAAAGGAAATGGTGATGGCTTCTGGACACTTGTAGACCCTCAGTACCTAATGAAGACCCATGGCTGACTCCCCCTGCAGCCCAGCTGTGGCCGAGAGACTCCTACAGGAGCCCCCACCCTGATGCACACAGATGATCTGCAGCCAGGTGACCAGGAGCACATCCCAGGACACTGGGCTGAGCATCCACCTGTGGGATGTCTCAGGTCACCTGTTTAACTGGCAGAACAGTTTTCCTGACATCCATAAATAATTTAGCTTTCCTCCCACCTCTTCCCTGTATGTATTTGATCCTTTCATGTTTCATCATCTTAATTTCATGCTGTTTATATGCACAGAGTGCAGTCTTTAAACTACCAGCAGTGCGATAATTCACAAGAACTAAAAACACTGACACACCATGCTTCAAGGGTAGCCATGTGAGCTCACCAGGCCAATGCACTTCTTCAGGATGCTCCAGACACTGAAGTCGCTCCTGGTGAACATCGGGGCAGGCAGGGACGTCCTGTGGGAAGCATAAGGGCAGCCATGCTCGTCCAGTCCCACACGAGGCTCATTCGCCATTGACGGGCTGCTCAGTGACCCTTTTAACCCTGAAAGCTAGCACTTCTGTGTTCTGGCACGCATGCCTGGGCGGGGGGAGCAAAGACCGGACTGCTGTCGAGTCTCAAAGAAAGGTTTCTGCACCAACGTTTTGGAGAACTTCCTGGAAATGGTTATGATGACAAAGACAACCTGGGAATCTTGACCCCACAGCACAGCAGCATGCTGTGGTTTCCTCCCCAGAGCTGGGGGACAGGGCGACAGCTGCAGGACCACAGACGGGTCAGGCCACAAGGGCACCAAGTGTGAAATTAGTTAAGAATACCTGTTCAGAAACCAGCTATTAAGCCCCTTTTAAACATGTGTTTTTCCTTTTCAGGTGACCTTCCGACCAGCCATCACATTTGCACCATGAGGTGTTAGCCCCAACCCAGAGGGGCTAGGTCTCCCTCCTGGGAAGGTGGAGGCAGAAGAAGACACATGCTCTCCACCCGGAGGGAGGGTGCTGGGTGGAGGTCTAAATCTGGATTTAGGGGGAGCATGCTGGACCCACCACACAGCTGGCAGAGCCCCCACAGAGTGGGGTCACAGAGCCAGCACCACAGAGCGGGGCCCTCGGTGCCCTGCTGCTCACAGCCCTCCAGAGACCCCAGCATTGTTGTGCCAAATCCCTGTCCTATGGAAGCTGCTCTGGAATGAGTTTCTGCACCTGTGACCAGGACCTGACTCACACTCTGGCCTGTGGAACAATGAAAGCGTGTATTCTCCCTGACAAGACCCCGAGCAATTCCTCAGGAAGGTCACATCAGGGCAGCTGGATCAGTTTATCTTAGGGGTCAAGAGGGAAAGGACATGGCAGCTGTGGGGTGAAGTGGAAAAGAAAACCTGTGTTACTGAGTGTCTGGAGCCTGGCAGCTAGGGACCAGCACCAGCTCCATTGCCCCATCTCTCATGTGCACAGTCAGCTGCAAGGGGTGCTGCGATGGAGGAAGGCAGCTCAGCAGGTCAGGAAAGGGTCCCCTGAGGACAGGACCCTTGGTGGGGATGGGAAGGAAAGACAGGAACTAAAGACATGAAGAGGAGGAAAGAGGGCCCAGGCCACGGGGGCAGCATGGATGAAGGGGGAGCCTGATGCAGGGAGGTCCAGATGCACCTGAGGACCCGAAAGGCCCCTGCAGCTGGGACCAAGGCCACAGGGCCCAAGGGGGCAGAAGCTGGAGGCACGTGCAGGGCCGGCTCTGAGGCGAGAGGTGAGAGGGTGGACACTGGGCCTCGTCCCAAGAGGAGGGCGACCTGCAGCTCACTGTCCAGGCTGGGACATTTCTGAGTGCCAGGGTGCTTCAGATTAGGAGGAGGAGGCCAGCCACACAGCCATCCTGCTGGGTCTTACACAGAGGGTGGAGGTGGTGCGAGCAGATCTGTCTTTTGAAAAATGCCTCTGCACGCTGCAGGGAGGAGAACGGGGAGGAGGGAGGTATGCGGGAGGAGGAAGGGACGCGGGAGGCCACTGGGGAAGCGGTGGTGGGGTGGACTGGCCCGCGGAGGGAGATGGAAGAACGAAGGTCCGGGATGCACTTGAGGGGGCCAAAGCGTCAAAGGTGGGTAACAGGGAAGGGGGTGGGGATGACTGCAGGGATCTGGCTGTGGATGAGGGTCACAGGGCATGTGCGCTGAGGAGGGGATGAGGGCAGAGGCCCAGGCCAGGGAGAGAGCACATGCTGCTTGTGGACAGCGCCCGGAGCACAAGGCAGCATCCCGCCTCTGCAGAGCAAGCGAGTGAAAGGCCACGGAAAGGGTGAGTGCACCCCAGAGCCTGCAGCTCTGGGAGACACAGGGGAGGCTGGACGGCTCCCTGGGGCCTCAGCACATGGGCAGAGGGGGTGACAGAGGCCCAGGGCCACCCCCAGCTGGCTGTACTCCTGTGTTCCTGCTTCTGCTGATGAATATGCTGGTGGCAGGAAGGTGGGACGTGGCCTTGTTGCACCAAGCCCCACTCCTCCTGTGCATCTCCACAGGATGCAGGAGAGACACTCTACCCAATCAGCAAGGGGTCGGATGATCAAAGCAGCATGTGCCCCCCTCATTAGCCATCCCAGCAGGTCCAGGGGTGGGGAGGAGAGTGTGGTCACCTCACAGATGGGGAAAATCACTGGTCAAAACCTGCCACGCACTGATCTCCATGAGCCCAGCAGAGAGGCATCAAGTCTCTCGGAACACCCGGCTGGCGGGATGCTGTCTGGGGAACCCGCGAGGTAACTTCGGGCAGCTGATGCTCCAGCCCAATACCAGTGAGAGATGAGGGTTGCCCTGCAGCATATTTTGGGGGCGATTACAGATGCACTTTGGAAAATTCTGAAACGATCTACATGAGACAACATACCTGTGTTTTTGAATTCCATTCTCCTGAGGGGGCCTCTCCCCAATTTTCCCAATCCTATTACTTTTGCTGCTGTCCAAGTCAATCATTCCAGTGACCTTCTGATTTGCTTCTGAAAATTCCCCAGAAGAGTTATCAGAATCAAAGCCTGCATAAGACAAGGAAAATGGTCATTTCTACGGGGCTTGGGAGATGTAAACACCTACCTCCAAGAATTCTGGCTATGCAAGCAGATTACCTAAAGCTCTAAATCAATTTATTGACACATGTGGAATAATTAACTCTGCTTCCCAAGAAATTAGTGGCAGGAGCACTTTGGGGACTCTCCTCATTGGGACATGAGTTTCAGACCTTCCAGGCTCCCCCAGGCAGTCTGAGACCTGCTCACGGCTGCAGGTCCAGCCTCAGACACAAGTTTCCTGTTGCTGAAGGGACTTTTTCGGGTGCCCCTCTACAGCACTGAAACCTATCTCCAGGCTGCGAAGCACTCTGTCTTCACACAAGGTTTGCAACCACGCTCCGCATCTTGTAAAACAGGCCCCGATGAAGTAGTTTCAAGACCACTGCACACATGAACGCCTTGCTAGAGTGTGTCAAGCCCACGAACACCCTGCAAGCGCTCCATGAGTGGCTGAACTTAAGAGCGCTCTGTGTAAACAGGCTCCGCAGGGTGAACTAGTCAGAATCTGTGTGAAACACCGTCTGGCGCGGGATTCCGGACCACTGGCCTGGAATGAGAAGGACCATGACTGCCCTGAGCAGTGCGCTGGGCCTGCTCCACTGCCAGGGCCTTCTCTGTGAAGGAACAGGGACCACAGGGAGAAGAGAACACGTGTTTCTTTCAGCTCAGCCAGCACAAGTCACTGAAGTCATCAAGCTCTGCTCTGAATCAGGGTGGAGTGGGCTACGATGGGGATTGCGGCAGCAGGAGGAGTCAACTCCAGCAAGGAGAGCTCCTGGTCCGTGGGGCCACCTCAACAACTCACAGAAGCCCAGGACCCCACAGAGAAGAGGGCTGTCAGGCAGGTCTGGTGGCAACTGGTCAGACCCAACATGAAAGCAAATCTGCAGCTAAGCCTCCCTGAGAGTAAGCAAAAGCATCTTTATTCGTATTCTTGCACAATGACAGAACTTCAAAATGTAGTACTGAGATTTACTGCACAATGATTTTGAAACGATATATTAAAAACGAACCTCTTGGGCCGGCCCGGTGGCGCACTGCTATAGTGCGCCGCTTGGGAAGCGCGGTAGCGCTCCCGCCGAGGGTTCGGATCCCACATACAGACCGGCCGCTCACTGGCTGAGCGAGGTATGGGAGCAACACCGAGGGTTGCGATCCCGTTGCCAGTCCCGGTCCGGTACGGGCGCGACACTGAGGGTTGCGATCCGTTGCCAGTCACGAAAAAAGAGACAAAAAAAAAAAATGAACCTCTTGAATGATCAAAATAGCCTGTCACCTCTAATTGTTGCTATCTATTCCAAAAGCAACATCAACCTAATCCTTAAAGTTTCTTGAAAACATTCCCTACTTAAGGAAACCCCGTTGTGCAGAATCTGGCCCTGCCCAGAAAAATAAAGCAACACATCCTAGATAATCTCATGAAGTCTTGTCTCCAATTAAGCCAATGCTATATAAATAGTGTAATAACATTTTAATAAACATGTATTTATTGAAGGGGGGGGAAGAAACACAGATAAAGAGGAGAAACCTGAAATCACCTGCCATCTGATCACTCAGAAATACCCGCCTTTAACATGCCACTGAGCTCCTGAAGTCCTTCACCCTGTCTGTGTTGCTCATGTACTTTAAAACCTTTCATTTGAATGCCACTGATTCTTAGAGGAAGTGTTTCCTATTGAAGCCATTCATTTAGTAACTGCTTGTTTTAAATTCTTTAAAATTAGAGTTGTACAGTCATATCAATATTACAGAGAGTGAAGTTGTAAGAACCCCACAACTTTTCACTGCACTAGGAGACTTGGCAATTTTCTCCTAATACTGTTTTGGAGCCAAAGGACTGAGGTGATGAGTTATCTTCGCCTCAATGTTTGTCCTCCCACCTTCACCTGGGGGACGCAGGGAGAAGCACTCTCCTGCATGGCAGCTTCTCCACAGCCTGCTATGGCCTTCTGGGGGTGGCGCTCATCCAAACGCCGTGTCATGTGAGCTGAAGTCCTCTCTGGGGGAACATCGTGATGGACTTACGCAAAAAGTTCGAGGTGTTCAGGGGAGTATCAGTTACAGAGAGTCCCCAGGTGAAAGGGAGCTTCCTATGAGACTACTGGAAGAGGAGGGGCACAGAGGCTGGGCTCCCTGCGACACACACAGCCTCCCACTGAGAGTAAAGCAGCCAGGACGGGGCTGCCTGACGGCCACTCCCGTGCATAGGAGCCCCACTGAGAGCAACTACTAATAAGCACACAAGCCATGAGGCAAAGGCGTCTGCCAGGAGCACATCATGAAGGAGACACAGTCAGTGGAGAATCTAGTTACAAAACAACAGAAAATGACTTAATAATTTAGCCTTTAAAAATGGTAAGAAGCTCTGCGTCCCGTTCCCCTGGGATTTTGGATAGCAGTAAGCCAACCATCCTGGGCACCCCAGCCAGCGGCATGACAGGCAGGAGGAGCACGGCAGGTGAGTGCTCAACACCCAGGTGCTGTAGTGCCGGGAAGCGGAGGTGGAGACTCAGCAGAGCCATCAACGCATCCTCCGCGTGGCTCCAGGACTATGAGGGACCTTGCCCAGCGTCACTACAGAGGCGCCTCTAAAGATTGTCACTGAATACCAGGCCCACGGTGATATTTCAGAAGTTGCTATTTCTGTATTCCTGAATCCAAGGACAAGAAAGTGGACTAGAATAATCTCTTCAAGTCCCTTTCTGCTAATAATAGTCCTTCACAGAAAAAAACAAAATGATATTCCAAATGGTAACTCTGAGGGTCAGGAGAGTAGAGAATGAACGTGAGCAGCAGAGGGTCTTGAACGTGAAGAGTTTTCAGGCCCTGAACGGTTCAAGCACATAGTTTTCTTTCAAACTACAGGCTGCATCCCACGACTTAAAATGGTCATGCAAAAAGCAAAGAAGGAATATACCTCAAAACAATAAAGGTCATAGATGACAAACCCACAGGTAGCATTACACTAAATGGGAAAAAAAAATTGAAAGCCTTTCCTCTAAATACAGAATAAGACAAAGATGCCCACTTTTACCACCTTTATTTAACATACTACTGGAAGTCTTAGCCAGGGCAATTCAGCAAGAGAAAGAAATATGAGTAAAGGGCATTCAGATTGGAAAGAAAGAAGTCAAATTGTTCTTGTTTGCAAACAGCATGATCTTAGATTTAGAAAAACACAAACATTCCACCAAAAAGCTGTTAGAACCAATAAAAAAATTCAGTATAGTTGCAGGATACAAAATCAACACACAAAAATCAGTAGTAATTCTATATGGTAACAGCAAACAATCAGAGAAAGATATCAAGAAAGCAACCTCATTTACAATAGCTTCGGGGGGGAAAAAAAAAAAAAAGCAAAACCTGGGCTGGCCCGGTGGCGCACTCAGTAGAGTGCAGCACTTGGGAGCGTGGCGGCGCTCCCTCCGAGGGTTCAGAGCCCATATAGAGACCGGTCCGCTCACTGTTGAGCGCGGTGCGGGCGCGACACCGAGGGTTGCGATCCCGTTACCGGTCACGAAAAAAAAAGACAAAAAAGGAAAAAAAAAGCAAAACCTAACTGAACTTTGAGACTATAAGAGCTGTTGTGAAAGTAAATAAACTTACTATGTTATGGTATACTTTAAGCAGCACAAAACAAGATGTAGTTATTAGATCAATAATTTTTTCCTTTTTTTTTTGTCTTTTTTCGTGACCGGCAACCCTCAGTGTCGCGCCCGTACCAGACTGGGACCAGCAACGGGATCACAACCCTCAGTGTTGCGCCCCTACCTCACTCAGCCGGTGAGCGGGAACCGGTCTGTATGTGGGATCTGAACCCTCGGCGGGAGCGCCGCCGCGCTCCCAATCGGCGCACTGTAGCAGTGCGCCACCGGGCTGGCCCCTAGATCAATAATTTTTTCATCATTAAGTATAACAAAAATAAGAATACTGACCCTCTCACTTAGGATCCAAAAATTAAAATATTTACACCTCAGGGAAACACTTTTAATGACTTAAAACCCCACTGCCCTTTCATGCTGTGTCCTGTGGTCCACAGTCAAGGTTCTGCCACATCTGAGACAGGATGCTGAGTTTCCGCTGAAATATCAGTGTTCAGTGTCACATAACATTCCCTCGCTTATGTTCCTCACAGAACTGTCCTCATAGCCCAGGTGCCACATGCAGCACCGGGATCCTGCAGGTTTTCACCCTCATGGGACAGCCTCTGGTTCATTTTCTCTTTCAACTCACCTGTGACGGCGTCAAAGAATTCCTCTTCTCCGTTCATCCTTCAGCAGCAGGCACTTCACTGCCCCGACCTGTGTCTCTATTGAATCATGGTATCTGATCTACATCAATAGTGTGAGAAATCCTACACCGTGAGCTGCTTCTTGGTGAAAATCTGATAGAAACGGGAGATTTAAGGGGAAAAACATTTGGCAATGTTAGCATTCAGAAGTTTCATGGTTTAGAAATATTTTCTAAATACCCATTTACCATTCTTGAAATCAATCCCACTTACATCTAGGCAAAGAAATAAAATGTTAGGGGCCGGCCCGGTGGCGCACTGCTACAGTGCGCCGCTTGGGAGCGCGGTGGCGCTCCCGCCGAGGGTTCGGATCCCACATACAGACCGGCCGCTCACTGGCTGAGCGAGGTACGGGAGCAACACCGAGGGTTGCGATCCCGTTGCCAGTCCCGGTCCAGTACGGGCGCGACACTGAGGGTTGCGATCCATTGCCGGTCACGAAAAAAGACAAAAAGGAAAAAAAAAAAAAAAAAAGAAATAAAATGTTATCTCATAACAAATACACAATTTCAAAAAGTATAAATTAGAGGAAGCATTCATAATGTAAAGATCAATCAGTGAATAATAGATCAATAAGTAATCATTATTAGAAGTTATTTATTTATTTATTTTTATTTTTTGTCCTTTTTGAGACTGGCCACACCGCGCTCAGCCAGTGAGCACTGTGAGCACACCGGTCATCCCTATATAGGATCCGAACCCGTGGCGGGAGCGCTGCTGCGCTCCCAGCGCCGCACTCTCCCGAGTGCACCATGGGCTCGGCCCTAGAAGTTATTTTTTAATTTAATTTAATTTTTTTTTTCATTTTTGTCTTTTTTCGTGTCCGGCAACGGATCGCAACCCTCAGTGTCGCGCCCGTACCGGACCAGGACTGGCAACGGGATCGCAACCCTCGGTGTTGCGCCCGCACCTCGCTCAGCCAGTGAGCGGGAACCGGTCTGTATGTGGGATCCGAACCCTCGGCGGGAGCGCCACCGCACTCCCAAGCGGCGAACTGTAGCAGTGCGCCACTGGGCCGGCCCCTTAGAAGTTATTTTTTAAAATCATTACCTACAGTTGTATAAGAAAACAGCAAGACTAATCTGGGTAAAGTCACGTGGGCAGTTTGAGAGAGCAGATTGGTTTCAGTGAGGCGCTCAACATCAGGGCTCAAACACATCTCAGGAAGCTTTGCTGAAAGTCACTGCAAACCTTTATCAGAGGCTAGAACAAGTGCTTACAAATGGAAAATTATGTTAAAATACTTGTCTCACTTCCACCTGAAATCAACGTTGAATTCTGGAGAATTAAGTCTGAAGTGTAAGTCAGCTGCCATCGGGATAACCTGAAATAGAGCTAAGTGTTCTCGAGATTATTTTAGTAAAACTCATCACATTAATTTCTCCTTCATGAAGAGCGGTATTTTATAAATGACAACAGAATGAAGCAAAAGGCCAATCTAATCCCAAAAGGTTTCACTTTTTCTGAAAGTAAGCAGAGTCCTGTATTCACTCGTGTCAGAAACACAGAAACAGAGCCCTGGAGCTCTCTGCGCAGTTCTAGAGTGTGATGGTGGGAGGGCAGGAGAGTGTCCAGAGTGACGGACATGCCTTCTGTCCTGGAGTGGCCACACAGTTCTTGAGGACACCCCCAAAGTGGCTCATCTCTGGAGCTGTGTCCACAAAAGTGAAGATAAACGATCAACTGCTCATGTGCGAGCATCTACATTGCAGGACACACAGGCATTAAGTTATTCCACTCCTCCGTTCCCTGAAAGACTCTTTCGGCATATCCTTTTTCCTTCCCAACCTGCCTGGGGGAACTGGGCTCCCAAAATGACTTCTGGAAACCAGTTCAAAGAGCCTCACTCAGGAGTGCAGGATTTGTTTTCCTCTGCAAATTAACGAAGTTGTTATTACATACTGCTAATTGCTCTCCAACATGCATACCACCCACAACACCCACCAGCCCACTTCTGCTCCTCTAGAAGCCACCCAAGGAACCAGGTTCCCTGGAGGCACGATGCACAGGCTCCTCTTGCCCTACAGGACCATTGGAGTGCTATGGCTTGAACATCTTTCCCCTCCAAAACTCATGGTGGAATTGATTGCCACTGTGACAGAATCAGGAGGCGGGACCTCTGAGAGGTAATTGGGCTTTGAGGGCTCTGCCCTCACAAGTCAATCAATGCTGTTTTCACAGTGGTGTCATAAAGGGTGAGTTCAGCCCCCTTTTGCTCTCTGTCACACTTGCTTGGTCCTTCCACCTCCTACCATGGGATGACACTGCAAGAAAGCCCTCGCCAGATGCCACCACTTTCATATTGGACTTCCCAGCCTCCAGAGCTGTGAGCCAGCTGCTCACTATAATGACCAGCCTGTGGTATTCTGTGATAGCAACACTAAAGGGCCTGGGACACAGGGTCATGTCAAAAGACTCAGGAAGAACCTACAGAAGCCCCCACTGCAAAGATGAGACCCCTCAAAAAGAAATTAATTGGTTACCACTGGATGATACCAGTAAACAACACACTATTTCAATTTTTCAGCTGGCTGGTGTGGGGATCTGAACACACTGTTTTGAAAACTAGTAAACAAGGGAGAGCACCAAGCCTTTCTGCTGCCTTTCCTGAGTACATAACCTGTGCCACTCTGTCACCTGGTGGACGTGGTCCAGTGCATCAACAAGGAATGGGAACGGAAGACGTGAGCGTTGCCACTGGACAGCACTGATGAACTGACGCATACTGGCCCTGACCATCCAGCGACACATTATGTGCCCCGTGGAAGAGGTCACACTGCCACCTCTACCTTTACCCACCAACGCATGGAAGCACAGAGAGCGGAGGAGCAGGCTCCACGCACCATGGAACACGACCAGCAGCACCAGATGTGGGAGCCTCACAGGACAAACCTGGCTCCTCCAGCAAATGAATCACAAGGGACAAGAGAGTGCCACGGAAGGCAGAGGACACGTCCCTATGGAGGCTGAACGGCAGTTTCGTGGGCGCATGCACATGAAAACACATCACGGGAAAACAACCAGCAACACCCAGGCAAGACAGAGCCTGGTCCCCTCAACAGGTAAGTTACAAAGGCAGACAGAGTGACAGAGAGGGGAGGACATTTCACTATCCTAACTGAGGTGATGGTTTTATGGGTGCATACATACGTCAAAACATTGCATGCTTTAAATATGTGCAATTCATTACAGGTCAATCATACCTCAAAAAAGCCACCTTAAAGAAAGACACGCCCACTAATACCACGCTTGCAGCAGGATCCACATAAGGCCTGCATCAACAAATACGGATCCAACAGAGAGGTAAGGCAACTGCAAATCTAAACAGAGTGAATATTTGTGATAGTAAGAATTACTGTTTGTTTTTAAAGTGTCATAATAGTACACTTTTAAAGAGGCCTTATCTTTTAGAGCTACACACTGAGATAGGTATGTTTCTTCCAAGTAATTTGGGAGAGGACTAGCCAGTCAGCTCAGCTGGTTCGAGTGTGGTGTAATAACACCAAGGTCAAGGGTTCCGATCCCCATACTGGCCAGCTGCCAAAAAATAGTAATGATAAAAAGATATACAATAATAATAATTTGGGAGGTGTGTGTACTGCTCACAGAGTAAGACAGGCCTGAGCTGGGAAAAAGCTGAAGCCAGAAACGGCGCCCAGGAGTCATTACACTCTTCCTTGTTGCTTTGCCTCCCACGGATTTGTCACTTCTCTTCCCCTGGGTGACGGAGCCACAAAAAGGATTACTTAAAGCCCATCTCTTCCAAGCAGTGAGAGACCCCAAAGGGGTTAATCTCCTGGAACCCTCAAGAGCAAGGCATTCCATCCTTTGGGAAATCAACCACTGGGGTTTTCACCCCGCATTTATTCTCCAGACCAGGAAGTGACAGGAAAAGAACATAAGGGGGGGTTTTGCTAAGTATAGTTCAACAAGTTTAACAACAGAGCCTGCTAACATCAGTAAGACAAGCAAGGTATCATTCTATAATGCAATTTGCAAAAGGTTAAGTCGATCCACCAACAAAAGCTTGATCTTAGCAAACATTTTTTTCCCTACAGCAATTTCTCAGTATCTTTACATATCAATTAGTAACGTGTCTGTCGAGCCAGCAACCTTGCTGTGTTACAATTCTTTGTCTTACAACAGAGACTTTTAACCCGGGGAAAGTTCCCTGTCTTTTGCAAAGTTAACATTTTATATGTACTTTTAAGAAGTTAGACTAAACCTGAAGCTACAGGGAACTAGACTCTGTGAATATATTTGCTTTATAAACATTGGTACATTCCACACTTCCTCCTGCTTTTCTGTATGTGTAAAATGTCCCACGGTAGAAAGCATATTAAAAGACATTTTTTTTTTCCTTTTTGTCTTTTTTCGTGACCGGTAACGGGATCGCAATCCTCGGTGTCGCGCCCGTACCGCGACCAGCAACGGGATCGCAACCCTCGGTGTTGCGCCCACACCACGCTCAACCAGTGAGCGGACCGGTCTCTATATGGGGTCCGAACCCTCGGCGGGAGCACCACCGTGCTCCCAAGCGCCGCACTCTACCGAGTGTGCCACCGGGCCGGCCCTAAAAGACATTTTATTCTCCCTTTTTATGTGCCTCCTCACCCATAACAAAAGTCTCAATGTTAAAGGTAAATCAATCAAAACTTACGGAAAATCTTCAAACTGAGGTGGGAGGTGTAGGTTAGACAAACGCTGCAGACACAAGCCTGGCTGGACACCACATCACCTGCAGCCTTGTGCTCCTGCCATGTGACCACAGGCCCACCATGACCAGAAACCTAAGGCAGCCCACCTCATGTGACCTTTACGTGACACACTTAGAGCCCCACAAGGTCCACACTGGAACGCTCACAGGCAGCCCCCAGACCTGCTCACATCCAAGTGAGATACTAATCCTGGTCTAGCCTCGAGGCAGTCTCTGAAGGAGCTGCCCTCACAGCCAGCACTCATTGACCTTCTCCATTCCCCAGAGGCCCAGTCAAGGGCCCACAGAGCCACCCAACTGCTGCAGACAGCCAGCGCAGAGCAGGGGCACCGCTCACCCAGCAGGCCTGACTGAGAGCCTGCGGGTGCTGGGCCAT